ATTTGCAAATATCTAGAAAAACGTGGAATTTCATAATAGTTAAAAGATCGTCAGTGAGACTTGGGTGTCAACGACCTTTTATCGATCAGTCACCTCATTAAATCCCACTCATTCTCGCTGATAATAATCACGATTGCCGGATAATGCCATACAATTTGTAACACTATACAAAGAATTTGCACAGGGCTAATGCCTTAATAAATATAAAAAAACAAAACTATAAAAAAAAAAATAAAAATAAGCAGAAAAGTTTCTTTAACAAAAATTATTACTGTTGAAAATTTTTAAGAAATCCGCCTATAAAAAAAAGAAAATAACGTTCAATGTGGAAAAATTTTTCAATCAAGTCTCTTCTCATTGGAAGTAATGTAAATAAATAAATAAATAAATAAACAAATAAATAACTAAATGAATAAATAAATAAATAAACAAATTAATATTAAATTTAATGAATAAACAAATGATTAAACAAATAAATAAACAGATAAACAAATGAATAAGCAAATAAATAAACAAATAAATAAACAAATAAACAAATTAGAATAAACAAATGAATAAACGAATAAATAAAGAAATGAATAAACAAATAAAGAAGAGAACAAGAAAATTTTCAGAAATAAGTAATGAAAATAGATTGAAATCGTCAGAGAATAAAATTTTAAGAAAAAAAAAGTAAAACAGATTTTAAATTTTGGGGGAAAGGCCAGTTTTGTATACAACGTATTATATTAGTGTAAAAGTTGTGACGTAAATGACGTTATGTATATGAAAGCATCGTGCCAATTGAAATCTAAATCTACTTCAAGGCCAATATGAGATAGAAATGAATGAGAATGATAATAGTGATTTTTTTTTTAATGAAAAGGTGACAAATTACTATTCTTCAAAACAAAAAAAAACAAAGAAAGGAAACTTATTTCTTTACTTTTTCAAAAATTACAGGCGTGACTATAATAGAAATAAAAGAGCAAAAAATTTTACATTTGGCTTTGAAAAAAGAATTGAGATTAAATTGTGCGTCGAGGAATTTTTAAATTCGAGAAAATATTGTATTTTTTTCTCTCGGAGAAAGTGAAAGTGTTCTTCCTTTATTTATTTATTTTCATAAAATACAATAGAAAACAAAAAATTAATTTCTTTTACATATTATAATTTTGCATATTAGTTAAAAAAAATTGACAAAATATATTGTCCCAGAATTTTTTTATTTTTGACTAAAATTAATTTAAAATTTTTCTTTTCTGTTACGTAAATTCATTTCTAATCGATAAATTTATTTCCAGTGTGTAAATTAATTTTTAGTAAATGAAATTATTTCTGAATTCTAAATTTATACTGTTTTATGAATTTTTAATTTTTATCTATTTCAAGAATATTCTAAAAATATTTAATTTGAAATGCTTTTAATATAATTATTTGATTACTATTTTAAGAAATTATTCTCTGAATTTCTTTTTTTTTTATTTCCTTTTGGTTTTTCACTTTCTATAGTGAAAAAAAACAAATATTTCTGAATTTGAATAAATTCCACTGACTAAAGCTCCGAATAATTGTAATTTGTTTATTTTTGTATAAATGTGTAAAAACTGAAAATAAATTACTTTAATTTCGAATTACTCCAAGAAAAGAGAACGAATCGTTGTTTTAGAAAATTTGTTTTCCTTTTTTGCAGTAAAACACTCGGTAAAAATTGACTAATTCTCCAGAATTTAAATAAAATTGTCAACAACTTTCTTTTCTAATTACAAAAACAAGAAGAAAATTTTTTTTATCTTCGAGAAAAAAAAATCCAATTCGCATAAAAATATTTCAATTTTATCAACAAAATAAATATCAAAATATAAATATTAAAGGAAAAATTTCATAAAACAAAAATATTAATTCTTTACTCAATAATTAATGTACTCAATTAATTAATTGATTGATAAAAATAGTTAATTAATCCATTAAATTTGCTGAGTTTTTTTATTTTATTTATCGATTCTTGCAGAATATTATTATTATTAAAATAAATAAAAAATTAATTGTGAAAAACAATTAAAATAAATAAAAAATACAAAAATAAAAAGTAGAAAAAATATTGAAAATGATTTACTTATATTCTAAATAAATAAATGAATAAATAAATAAATTAGTTAATAAATAAAATATAAATAAAAAATAATAATCGTTGTATTCCGGATGTTTGTTCGAAGTTAGAAATAAGTTTATGATGTTTTCATTTTTGTTTATCCTAATTTTTGTAATAATTTTTCTTTTAAAACTTTTAAAATTTTAAAATTATAATGAATTTCTAGTTTAATGTTTTGAAAATTAAACAGTTTAACAAAAATTAATTCAAAAAAATTGCCTATTTAAAAAATTTATAAATTTATTTTAAAATTAGGTACAATTATTATAATCGAATTCCTGCAAGAAATTTTATTTTTGAAAATAATAAAAATAATAGATTTTTAGTGGAAAATTATTTAAAATATTTGAATTCTTTTGACAGATTTTTATTAAAATTGTATTAAAAATAATTGAGTATCTGCTAAAAAGTATTATTAAAATTAATTCTAAAAATAATTGTGAGAAATTTTATTATTTTTTAAAATAATGAAAATAATTGAATTTCAGTAAAGAATATTAAAGAAATTTTCAATAATAATTGAATTCTTTTGAAAAAATTTAACTAAAATTGTATTAAAAATGTTTGAATTCCAGTCAGAAATTTTATTATTTCTTCAAAAATAGTGAAAATAATTGAATTCTACCGAAAAATTTAATTCAAATTTTTGAAAACAATTAAATTTTAGCAACAAAGTTTAATGCTTATAAAAATGATTAAGTTTTTGTGAAGAATATTATTAAAAATTGTATAAAAAATAATTCAACTCCTGCAAAAAACTTTATTTTTGAAAATAATGAAAATAATTGAATTTTAGTGAGAAATTTTAAAATTTATAAAAATAATTGATTTTTTCGAGGAATATTATTAAAATTATTAAAAATAATTCAATTCTTTTGAGAAATTTTATTAAAATTTTATTAAAAATAATTGAATTGCAGTGAGAAATTTTTATTATTTTCTCAAATAGTGAAAATAATTGAATTCTTTAGAGAAATTTAATTAAAATTGTATTAAAAATAACTGAATTTCCACGAAAATTATTGTTATTTTTTAAAATAGTGAAAATAATTGAATTGTAGCGACGAATTTAATTAAAATTTGTGAAAATAATTGTATTCAGCAAAGAAGTTTAATATTTACGAAAATAATTGAATTTTTGCGAATAAGTTTATTATTCAATAAAAATAGTGAAAATAATGAAAATAATTGAATTCTAGTGACAAAGTTTAATATTTATAATAATAATTGATTTTTTCGGGGAATATTATTAAAATTATTAATAATAATTCAATTCTTTTGAGAAATTTTATTAAAATTTTATTAAAAATAATTGAATTGCAGTGAGAAATTTTTATTATTTTCTCAAATAGTGAAAATAATTGAATTCTTTAGAGAAATTTAATTAAAATTGCATTAAAAATAACTGAATTCCCACGAAAAATATTGTTATTTTTTAAAATAGTGAAAATAATTGAATTGTAGCGACGAATTTAATTAAAATTTGTGAAAATAATTGTATTTCAGCAAAGAAGTTTAATATTTATGAAAATAATTGAATTGTTTCCAAGAATTTAATTAAAATTTTGGAAAATAATTGAATATTTTCCAATAATTGAATTCCCGCGAGAAATTTTAAAAAAAATTTTGAAAATAATAAAAATAATTGAAATCTTGAAATTATTTTTTTTTTAATTTTTCAAAAATAATTGAATTGTTTCCAAGAATTTAATTAAAATTTTTGAAAATAATTGAATTTCAGCAAAGAAGTTTAAATATTTATAAAAATAATCTAATTTTTGCGAATAAGTTTATTATTCAATAAAAATAGTAAAAATAATTAAAATTTTGAAAATAATTTTTTAAAAATAATTGAATTGTTTCCAAGAATATAATTAAAATTTTGGAAAATAATTGAATATTTTCCAATAATTGAATTCCAGCGAGAAATTTAATTAAAATTTTTGAAAATAATGAAAATAATTGAAATCTTGCAAATAATTTTTAAAAAATTTTTCAAAAATAATTGAATTGTTTTCAAGAATTTAATTAAAATTTTTGAAAATAATTAAATTTCAGCAAAGAAGTTTAATATTTACGAAAATAAATTGAATTTTTACGAATAAGTTTATTATTCAATAAAAATAGTAAAAAGAATTAAAATCTTGAGAATAATTTTTTTAAAAATTTTCAAAAATAATTGAATTGTTTCCAAGAATTTTATAAACCATTTTTTAAACAAAAGTAACAGTAGTTATTTAGTTAGTTAATTAATAAGTGAATTTTATTAAACTTTGAATCGGAAATTATTAAAAAAAATAAATGAAAGAAATTTCTAAAGAAGGAAAAAAAATAAGTAAATAAATAAAGTAAGAAAAAAGAAAGAAACAAAATTGAAAATTCTGGAGTAATGTCAATAATTGTAAGTGTGTAGGTATTTTTGAAAAAGAAAGAAAAAAGAAAGAAAAAAGAAAGAAAAAAATAAAAAAAAAATAAATAAATAAATGAGTGGGAAAAATAGTGTATTATGTTAAGTAGTGAGGGCAAATATTATAATCAATAGGAAATCAATGAATCAATTAAAAATTAATCAATCAATCAATCAATGAATTAGTATATAATGAAACCAGGTACAAACGACAGCACAAGAGGGACATACTGTGGCATTAACTAAAGTGTTAATGAAAGTGAGTACATCATACGTCATGTCACCATAGCCCACGGTCGTCATCGTGACAACGGCCCACCAGAACGCGTCCGGAATGGATTTGAAGAACGAATTCTCGGAGCCAGCCTCCGCGAAGTATACCGCTGATGAGAATAGCACCACACCTGCAATATAATGAAGAAAACTCGTTCAGAAATATCAATGTTTTCATTTTATGAATACCTCATGTCCCCGTAGCCGACGGTCGTCATTGTGACCACCGCCCACCAAAATGCATTTGGAATTGATTTGAAGAAACTGTCTTGCGATCCGGCCTCAGCAAAGTAGACCACCGAGCTGAACAGTATCACTCCTGGAAAACACGTTTCGCATCGCTACTAAACCAATAATAAATCCTCGCCCAATATTCTTTCGTCTCTCGTGCAGAAATTTCCCGATCAAAATTCAACTTAATCGAAACAAAATTACTCAAAAAAAAAAATTAAATAAGAGATGTTTAAATTCATTTTTTTGTCCATTTGTATGGCTTCCAAAAATATTTAATTCAAAAAATAAATAAAACAAAAAAATGAAATAAAAAAGTAATTGAAAAAAATCGACTAAATAAAAATTTAATTAAATAAGAATTTATTAAATAAAAATTGTGTTTAATAAACAATTCGGTTAAACAACAACTCGACTAAACAAAAATTTAATTAAATAAGAATTTATTAAATAAAAATTCGACTGAATAAAAATTTGTGTAAATAAAAATTCGACAAAATAAAAATTGGATTTTAAATAAAAATTTGGTTAATTAGTTAATTAGTTAGTTAGTTGGATAGAAAAAAACCCAATTAAATATAACTGCGACTAAATAAATATTTAAGTGAATAAAAATCCGACGAAAATTTGACTAAATCATAATTCCGCTAAACAAAAATTCCGTTAAATAAGAATTTGTTTTAATAAAAATTTGACTGAATAAAAATTAGATAAAATAGAAATTCCACTAAATAAAAATAACATTAAAAAAAAATATATTCAATTCAATAAAAATTCTACTGGAGAAAAATTGAAATAAATAAAAATTTAGCTAATTAAAAAATTGGACTAAATAAAAATTTAACTAAATAAAAATTCGACTTTAAATAAAAATCCCATTAAAAAAAATGATTCGACTCAGTCAAAAATTCTATTGCAGAAAAATTCGACTTTCAATAAAAATTTTGCTAATTAAAAATTCGACTAAATAAAAATTTGGCTAAATAAGAATTCGACGGCATAAAAATAAGAACTAAATAAAAATTCACCAAAAAAAAATTTCCAATAAATAAAAATTTGTTTAATAAAAATTCAACTGAAAAAAATCGACTAAATAAAATCCGAATAAAAAAGAATTCGACTAAATAAGAATTCCATTCGATGAAAATTTGACTGAATTAAAATTCCACTAAAAAAATTCCGTTAAATAAAAATTTGTTTTAATAAAAATTCGACTGAATAAAAATCCAAAAAAAGAAGAATTCTACTAAATAAAAATTCGACTTTAAATAAAAATCCCTTCAAAAAAAAAATAATTCGACTCAATAAAAATTTTGTAAATTAAAAATTCGACTAAATAAAAATTCTACTGAATAAAAATAAAAACTAAATAAAAATTTCACTAAAAAAAGTTCCAATAAATAAAAATTTGATTAAATAAAAATTCAAATGAATAAAAATTGGAGTAAATAAAAATTCAAATAAAAAAGAATTCGACTAAATAAGAATTCCATTCGATGAAAATTTGACTAAATCAAAATTTCACTAAAAAAAATTACGTTAAATAAAAATTTGTCTTAATAAAAATTCCACTGAATAAAAATCCAAAAAAAGAAAAAAATTTGACTAAATAAAAATTCTACTAAATAAAAATAAGAACTAAATAAAAATTTCACTAAAAAAAGTTCCAATAAATAAAAATTTGATTAAATAAAAATTTAAAATGAAAAAAATCGACTAAATATAATTCAAATAAAAAAGAATTCGACTAAATAAGAATTCCAATTGATGACTGAATAAAAATTCCACTAAAAAAATCCGCGAAAAAATAAAAATTTATTTTAATAAAAATTCTACTGAATAAAAATCCAAATAAAGAAGAATTCTACTAAAAAAAATTCCGTTAAATAAAAATTTGTTTTAATAAAAATTCTACTGAATAAAAATCTAAATAAAGAAGAATTCTACTAAATAAAAATTCTACTTGAAATAAAAATCCCATTAAAAAAAATAATTCGACTCAATAAAAATCCTACTGGAGAAAAATCTGACTAAATAAAAATTATTCTGAATAAAAATAAGAACTAAATAAAAATTTCACTAAAAAAAATTCCAATAAACAAAAATTTGATTAAGTAAAAATTCAAATGAATAAAAATTGAAGTAAATAAAAATCCAATTAAAAAAGAATTTGACTATATAAATAAAAATTTCACTAAATAAAAATTCATCTAAAAACAAAATCGACTAAATAAACATTCTACTGTATAAAAATTAGACTAATTGAAAATTCCATTCGATAAAAATTTGACTGAATAAAAATTAAATTAAATTAAATTAATTAAATTAATAAAATTAATAAAATTAATAAAATTAATAAAATTAATAAAATTATTAATAAAATTTATTAATGTAATTCAATTAAAGAAGAATCCTATTTAATAAAAAAATTCGTTTAAATGAAAATTTGTCTGTTACAATCATAACATAAATGGAAATTTAAATTTTAAATTCAACAAAAATGAAATTAATTTTGAGCAAAAGAAAGCTACTGAATCGTTTCCGGAAGAAAAGTAGAAAAATTTATTCCTGCACGAGAACTAGACGTGAATACATTTTCTTTAATATTTTTAAATAATCTTACGTCTTTCCACTAGAAAAACTTTTACCTGTACATATTAAAGTATACAGGAAATTGGTTAATAAAATCAACAAATATTAATTAATCACAAATAGACATTAATTATCATATATTAATAATAAATATAGTATAAAAAAAATATTAATTCCCTGATATAGTTTCCAATAATTTCCCATCTAAAATTTTCTTGGTTAGTATTTTATTTGGAAAATACTATTAAATATTATACAATAATTTTTTATTTATCCGAATATTAAAAAATTCACTAAATAGCGAAATTTTTTAATTGCAAAAATATAAATTTTTAAAACATAAAAGTAAAAATTAAAAAAAAAAAATTTACCTTTAATAAAAGTAAAAAGTTGGAAAAATTCGAGTATGAAAAGCAAAATTTTATTTTCTCTTTAATTTTTTTTTTTGAAATTATGAATCAAATGAGAAATTTCATCTTAGAAGAAAAATATTGTCGAGGAGAAAGAGTATTTAAGAGAATCGGTGAGTAGATACAATTTATTGATTTTAAGTATCTCGTATATTTATATATATATGTGCAAGTCTCGCGAGGGTTTACCTTAATTTCATGGGATTCAATTATTGATTGAAAAAGCAATTAGATAGAGATCACAAGAAATTTACTCTTGAGGTACTGTCGTTTCCTAAGATTACCGTCTTTCTAACTATAGAATGAATTGCATGAAAAGCAACTACGGGTATTAATGATCGTCCTAATGGCACACTATACTTTATATATAGTTTATAAAATACAAGAGAGTCAATGTAAATGTTCAAGTGCATTAGAACTAGATTAAGTGCTTTTTATAATACCTGCACATTTTCAAGAGTTCACTGTAACATTTTTCTTTATTTATTTATTTATTAATTTACAACAAGAAAAAATCTCTTTAAAATTGTAAAAGAGAAATAAATATTAAATTCTTTCGTAAGAACTATTTTTTTTTTCGTATATTTACTAAGAATTTACTAATAATTTACTATTAACTTACTATTACTTTACTGTTTACTTAATATTAATTTACTATTAACTTACTATTAATTCTATTGTAAAAACTTATTTAATTTCCATTGTCAAAATGCGAAAATATCAGGCTTCACAGTGCTCCTAAAAAGTATTTTAGACGAAATAAGGGACTGAAAATTAAAAAATAGGGGACTTTTAGGGGACCATAAAAATTGGTTAAATAAAGATAAAAATATTATTTATTTATACAGGGTTGCCACAAAAATTTAACTTTATTTTTCCCTGATTTCCAAACACAACTTTGGCTTTTTCCCTGACCCTAAAGAATATTCTGATTCACTCTAAAAATTATTAGATACTCAAAAAAATGTTCTATTCAATTTATTTACAAATTTCTTCAAAAGTCAAATTATTCGAAAACATCAATAGTTTTATTTAAAATAAATATTTAATAATTTTTTTTCATTGGAATTAAGATGTTCAAAAATTTCAAATTCAAACCTTTTCAAATTGAACAACTCATAAGAATATAATTATAAAACAAAAAGAAATGAATCACTCCGAGTGACCAACTGACAAAATCATTATTTTATTATTATAAGAATATTGTTACTGTAATTTCTTCAAAATTATTTTTATCATTTCAATTTAATTAACATTTTCAAGAATTTTTAACTAAAATTCTACTTTAAATCAATAACATCAATTATTATTCAATTAAACTTCTTCAAAAAAAATTAATTCTTCAGAATTGTTAGTTAAAAGTACGAAAAATAATAATTTAATTCTACGAGAAATCAATTATTTAAATACAAAAATAAATAATATTCAATGTTTCTTAAAATTTAATTTTTACGAAAAATTGTATTAACAACTTTTGAAAATATTTAATCTTTTTAAGGAATTTAATTAAAATTTTAATGAAATTTATTATATTAAAGAATTTTATAACAATTTTTGAAAATAATTGAAAACTTTTTGAAGAATTTTATTAGATTTTTTAAAAATAATTGAATTCTTGAAAAGAATTTAAATAATAATTTTTGAAAACAATTGAATTCATGAGAAGAATTTTTAAAAATATTTTGAGAATAATTAAATTCTTGAGAAGAATTCCCTTATCTATTTATAAAAATAATTTAATTCTTGACGAGAATTTTCAAAAAATTTTGAAAATAATTTAATATCTGCAAAGTATTTTATTACTTTTTAAAATAATTAAATTCTTGCGATGAATATTGATATTTATCAAAATAATTGAATTTTGGAAAAGAATTTTATTAAAATTCCTTAGAATAATTGATTTTATGGGAAGAATTTATGCGATTTTGTTGTTTATCAAGATACTTAAATTCTTTTGCAAAATTACTTAAAAATTTTTGAAATCAATTGATTTTCTGCGACGAATTAAATGTTATTTATGAAAATATTTGAATTATTGCAACGAATTTTATTGTTTTATTGAATAATTGAATGTTTCTTAAAATTGAATTCTTTCCTGAAGTTTTAATAAAATTTTTAATAATTATTGCATTTTTCAAGGAATTCATTTAAAATTGTATTAAAAATATTTGAAATTCTGCGATAAAAATAATTGAATTGGTAAATGAAATTTTATTATTTATAAAAATAATTGAATCTTTTCGTAGAATTTTATCAACAAGTTTTTTCTATAATTAAATCTGTGGATAAATTTTATGAAAATAGTAAATATTTAAAAACATTGAATTGCGAAAAACTTTTAAAAATAATTGAAATGTTGCAAAAAATTTTATTTAAATTGTTGAAAATAATTGAATTTTTGGCGAAAAATTTTGCTATTTATAAAAATAATTGTAATTCTTGACGAGATATTCATTAAAATTTATAAAAATAATTGAATTCGTGCAAAGTAGTTTATTAAATTTTGTTTAAAATTAAATAATTGAAATTTTGCCAAGCATTTAATTAAAATTTTTGACAATTGAATTCTTGAGAAGAATTTTGATATTTATTTAAATAATTGAATTTTGGAAAAGAATTTCATTAAAAATCCTTAAAATAATTGATTTTATGCGGAGAATTTTGTTGGTTATCAAGATAATTGAATTCTTTTGCAGAATTACTTAAAAATTATTGAAAATAATTGATTTCCTGCGACGAAAAAAATAGGGTAAATTTTCAAAATAGAGTACGTTTAGGGCCAAAATTAAAAAAGGGGACTTTTAGGGAAATAGGGGACATACTGTGAAGCCTGAAATATCAGCAGAGTTTTTTGTTCTTTTAAAAAAAAATTATTTCTGAAGGAAACTATCGTGTATTTTAAAAATCTATTTTAGAAAATTATACTAATTTTTGATTTCCAAATTTTAGTTTTTTAAGGTTGATACAATTTTTTACGATTTAATGTTTCTTGATAGTATGCTAGGAAATTTTATTCTTCCATTGAGATTTTTCCGTTAAATTTAAATTTTTTCTTTTATTTTCATTTTTATTGTTAAACATTTTTTTATTATTAAAAGTTTTGAAAATTAATCTTCTGCGTTTTTTTACTGTTCAAATTAATTTTTCTTTATACTCTTTTTTTATTATTTAAACAATTTTCTTTTTAAATAATATTTTTTTTTCCTATTTTGAAGTAAAATGTAAAATTTCTTTAAATTAAAGATTATTTAGTTTAAAATTTTATTTATAGAGAAAAATTTTCGAATTCAAATTGACCTGTTGTCGCAGTTTTTTTCTCGAAAATTTTGCAGACATTTCTCGTTGAACAGAGAGAAAAAAGAATTGGATCAACCTTCAGATCGTTAAAAGTAATCAAACCAACTCTCTAAATTTGAATCAGTTAAAAATAAAAAAAAAATTCTGCTGAATCTGTAAACTTTCTATTGGAAATATATATCAGTAACGAAAAATTATCTGTCTAGAAATTATAAAAATACTCGAAAATTTACAATTTTTGTAGAAAAAATTTAAAAAAAAATTTTGAATGAGTGAATTTTCTTTAAAATGAAAATTTATGAAAATTATCTGCATTAAAATATTTTTAGAGAAAAATAATTTCTACAATTATTTTTTTTTATGTGAAATTCAATTATTTTCAATTATATGTGACGCTCCACGAGAAAAGGGACCTTATTTACTCTTGTCATAAGGTCCCTTTTCTCGTGGAGCGTCACATATGTTTCCAAAAATTCAATTATAGTTTTATAATTTTTTTTTAAATCAATTCTTTCTAATATTTTTGATTATTTTTTTTCTTTAAATTATAAAGATATGCAGTTACAATTGTTACTCATTATTTAATTCCGGAAGAATTTTCGAAAAATTACTGAAAATGAGTGATTTGGAGAAGAATACAAATTTCGATAAAAAAATTAAATCCTTTAAAACATTTATTAGGGTTTTCGTAAAAAATTTAAATATTTTTGAAGAATTTCTTCAAATTTCTTAAGAAAAATGTAAAGTTTTTTGTGGATAATTTTATTTAATTGAAAATTTTGAAAATAATTGTTTTGTTACGAAGAATTTTATAAAAACTTTTTAAGAATAATTGGATTTTTTTAAAAAAAATTTATTACCATTTAAAAAAAAAAAATTAAACCGGTTCGAGAAATTTGTTTAAAATTATATTGAAAATAATTGAATTCCTGAGAAAAATTTTATTATTTATAAAAATAATTGAAGAATTTTTATAATTTTTTAAAATAATTGAATTGTTTCGAAGAATTTTATTCAAAATTTTTGAGAGTAATTGAATACCTTTCGGAAGATTTTATTTATGAGTTAAAAAAATAATTGAATCCTTTCGCGTTATTTTATTGAAATGGGTTTAAAAATAATTGAATTCCTGTGAAGAATTTTATCAATTGAAAGTAATTGAATGCCTTCGAGAAATATTATTAAAAATTTTAACAAATAATTAAAAACTTTCATCAAATTGTTTTGAAAATAATTGAATTTCTTCAAAAAGTTTTATTAAAAATTTAAAAAAATAATTAAAAACTTTCGTCAAATTTTACTTCAAATTGTTTTAAAAATAATAAAAATTCTTTGGAAGAATGTGTTTATTTAAAAAAGAAAATTCTTGCGAAAAATTTTATTATAATTTTTGAAAATAATTAACAAGAATAATTAATTACGTACTTAATTAGTGAATTTTTTGAATTTTGAGTCTGAAATTATTTAAAAATTGTTAGTTAAAAGTACGAAAAATAATAATTTAATTCTACGAGAAATCAATTATTTAAATACAAAAATAAATAATATTGAATGTTTTTTAAAATTTAATTTTTACGAAGAATTGTATTAACAACTTTTGAAAATATTTAATTGCTTTTAAGGAATTTAATTAAAATTTTAATGAAATTTATTATATTAAAGAATTTTATAACAATTTTTGAAAATAATTGAAACCTTTTTCAACAATTTTATTAAATTGTTTAAAAATAATTGAATTCCTGAGAAGAATTTAAATAATAATTTTTGAAAACAATTGAATTTTTGAGAAGAATTTCTTTATTTTTTTATGAAGATAATTTAATTCTTGACGAGAATTTTCAAAAAATTTTAAAAATAATTTAAAGTATTTTATAACTTTTCAAAAGAATTGAATTCTTGTGATGAATTTTGATTTTTATCAAAATAATTGAATTTTGCAAAAGAATTTTATTAAAATTCCTTAGAATAATTGATTTTATGGGAAGAATTTATGCGATTTTGTTATTTATCAAGCTAATTGAATTCTTTTGCAAAATTACTTAAAATTTTTTGAAAATAATCGATTTTTTGCGACGAATTAAATGTTATTTATAAAAATATTTGAATTATTTCAACGAATTTTATTGTTTTATTGAATAATTGAATGTTTCTTGAATTGAATTCTTTGCAAGATATTCGTGAATTTTATTATAATTTTTAAAAATAATAAACAAGAATAATTAATTACCGACGTACCTACTTAATTAGTAAATTTTTTGAATTTTGAGTCTGAAATTATTTAAAAATTGTTATTTATATTTGAAAATGTAAAATTTAATTTGCAAAGTAATTATAATAATGGAATATAATAATGAAAATTAAATTTCAAATGTTGGTAAAATATTTGTTTGAATTTAGTTTTACCAATTGAAATTAGAATGAAAGTTTGTTGATAAAATAATTTTGAAAGATTCGACTTGAAAATAGAATAGAGAAAGCGGGACTTACCGATAAAAAGGAAAAAAATGAGCAGACCGAGCTCTCGCATGGAGGCCTTTAGAGTTCGGCCGAGAATTTGAAGACCTTTACTATGCCTGGACAGTTTGAATATTCGAAACACCCTGACCAGTCGTATCACCCTGAGAATGGCGAGGGACATCGCCTGATTCGTGCTTTTGTCCTGAGGGCTGACCGGAGCCTTCGGCAAATGAAGCGTGTCCTCCTCCTCGGCAACGACGGTTGCCAATGTGATGAAATACGGAATGATGGCGATGATATCGATGATGTTCATAACGTCTCGGAAGAAGTTTAGCTTATTTGGACAGGCGAGGAAGCGCACCGATAACTCGAATGTGAACCAGATTATACAAATAGTTTCTATTAGGAAGAACGGGTCCGTAATGTCCGGCACTTCGTCCTCCTCGATTTTTGTACCGTTCGTCGTCGTGTTGAACACTTTGTAATGCTTGAATTCGGGAAGCGTTTCCAGACAGAATATTACAATCGAGAGGAGAATCACGAACACGGATATAATGGCAACGACTCTCGCTCCCTGCGAACTCTCTGGATATTCGAATAACAGCCAAACTTTTCTTTGATATTCGTGCGACGGAAGCGGCTTTTCTTCTTCTTTGATGAATCCTTCGTCTTCCCTGCAAACACAATTTTCAATTAATTCACACTCAAAATCAATTATTCATCAATTATTATTATTATTCAAGGTGCCCACAACAAATTTCCCATTTTTATTCTCTTTATTAACTTTTTTCACTTCTATATTAATAACAATTGAATTCTTTCAAGAAATTTTATTAAAATTGTATTCAAAATAATTCAATTCCAGTGAGAAATTTTATTATTTTTTAAAATAGTGTAAATAATAGAATTTCAGGGAAGAATTTAATTCAAATTTCGGTAATCTGTTCACAGTTAGGTACTACTTTAAATTTCTGTTGAAAACACTAAAAAATTCAATTTTGGAGTCATTACAAATAATTGCAGAAATTCAATTATTTAAAAAAAAATAAAATTCTTCTCCAAAGTTCAATTATTTTCAAAAATTTTTCTAATTTCAATGATTTTCAATTTATTATATAACTAGCCAAATGTAAGTTATATAAGTAATATTTAAAGAAATACTTATTATGACAAATAACTGAAAAACTAATTAGAATTAAATTTTCAAATTATATTATATTTTTAAACTTTAAAGTAAATAAAAAAAACTTTAACAAATTTTGATACTAATTTCAAATTTGACATCCTATTTTCAAAATTGAAAATAATTAAACTTTCTTGTATGAGGAAAATTTAATTTCGCAAAAATTGTCATCTGATACCAAAATTAAAAATAATCTTCATTACGAAAATGTTAATTATTCTGAAGAACAGAAAAGGTAAAAAAATTATTATATATTCTTCAACTTTCTGAACAAAGAATATGAATAATATTTTTTCAGAGAATTTCCACTACTTTTAATTCGCTAATTTTCCAAAAATTTCGAAAACATCAATTATTTAAAACAAAATTTTATGCAATTTATTTTGCACAATAATTCAATTACTTTCACTAATAATAAAATTTTTCATGAAAATTCAATTTTGTAAAAAAATTTTTGATTAAATTCTGAGCATGAATTTCAATTATTTTTATTACTATTTTAAATTAATAAACGAAAAATTCAGTTATTTTCACAAATAAAGTTTTCCACAAGAATTCAATTATTTAAACTAATATAATTTTCATAATATTTATTATATTTCAAAAAAATTAATTATTTCAAACAATGTTCATCAAATTCTTATTATGAAGAATTTAATTACTTTCAAAAATAATATAATTTTTCACAGAAATTCAATTCTTTTTAAACATTTCAATAAACTTTTCCGCAATAATTCAATTATTCTTAAGAATTATAATAGAATTCCTAGCAACTATTTAATTACATATTTTCATAAATAATAAAATTCATAGCAGGATTTCAATTATTTTTAATACAATTTTACAGGAATTGCTCAAAAAATGTAATTATTCATAAAAACTTAATTTTAATTCCTCGAAAAAATCAATTATTTAAAAAAATGTTTTTTTTCAAATATTTTTTGGAAGGATTGAATAATTATTTTCAAAAATTTAATAACATTGTTCGAAAGAAATTAATTGTTTTAAATACAATTTTAATTAAACTTTTTTGAAATAATTCAATTATTTTTTTAAATTTTAATAAAATTTTTTCTAAGAATTCAATTATTTACACAAACAATTTTTTGAAAGAATTCAATTATTAAAGATAAATAAGAAAATTACTCTTGAAAATGCAATTATTTTGAGGTATTTTAATAAAATTCTTTTCAAAATTCAATAATTTTTATAAATAAAAAAATATTCATCACAAGAATTCAATTATTTTCATAAATAATAAAATTTTTCTTAGAAATTCCTTTATTTAAAAAAATTATAATAAATCGTTTGCAAGAATTCAATTATTTTTATAAATAATAAAATGCTTTTTAGGAATTCAATTATTTTCAAAAAGATTTAATAAAATTTCCCACAGACATTCAATTATTAACAAATTTTTTAATAGAATTCTTTGTAAAATTTAATTATCTTTAAAGTATTGTTATAAAACATGAAGATATCGATTGCTCCGAGTCGAAGACTCGGAGTTATAGATTTCTTCATGTTTTCTAATAATTAAAAATGCCCGAGTGACAAAATCATTGTTTTATATTATAAAAGTAATTTTTTAAACTTTTTCAAATATAACAGTAACTTTTTCAAAATTATTTCCATCATTTTAATTCAATTCTTATTTTCTAGAATTTTAAATTATTTGTTATGAAAATAATAATTGAATTCTTTAAAAAACTTTTATTATTTATGAAAATAATTGAATTCCTGTGAAATTTTTATTATTTATGAAAATAATTGCATGTTTGCATACAATTTTATTAAAAAAATTTTTTAATAATTGAATTCGTTTTGGGAAATTTTATTAAAATAGTAGATATTGAAAATCATTGAAATTAGAAAAATGCATTTTATTTTTGAAAATAATTGAAATTAGGACAAGAATTTCTTTCACATTAATGAAAATAATTGAACTTTGGAGAAGAATTTTGTTATTTATAAAGATAATTGGGATTTTTACAAAATTTTTTTTCAAATTTTGAACACAGTTGAATTTTATAAGAATTTTAATTTTTTTTTTTTTTTGAAAATAATTGAATTTTTGCAATTATTTCTATAATTTCTCCAAAATTCAATTTTTTTAGTGTTTTCAACAAAAATTTAATCATTTTCAAATCATTGAATTCTTGCAAAGAATTTCATCGAACAATTTGCATATAATTGAATTCTTCTGAAGAATATTATCAAAATGTTTGAACATAATTACATTTTTTACACGAATTTAAGTAAAAATTATATTGTAAATAATTAAATTTTCATAAACAAATTTTATAAAAAATTTTTCAAAATAATTGATTTCATTCCAAAAAATCTTCTTAAAATTTTTAGAAATAATTGAATTCTTTTGAAAAAATTTAACGAAATGAAATTTTTCAAAGAATATTTTTAAAGTTGTATTCAAAATAATTGAATTCTTGCAAAAAAATTTAATTTTTGAAAATAATTGAATTTTAATGAAAAATTTTAATATTTTATAAAAATGATTGAATTTATCGACACTAATATTATGAAAAATTGTTGAAAATAATTAAATTTGTTCGACAAATTTAAGTAAAATTATATTGGAAATATTTAAATTCTTTTAATCAAATTTTATCAAATTTTATCAAATTTTATCAAATTTTATCAAAATTTATCAAAATACATGGAGAGAAAATAATATATTAAATTTTGTAAAAGCAGTTTACAATTTGGAGAAAAAGTGCAACACCTCGAAATTTTGACATAGAAAATACTAAACAGTGAAAGAAATAATATGAAATTTAGTAATTTTATATTAAAATTTACGTCGAAATTTACAAACTGAACATTGACATTTGACCGTAGCAAAAGTTTTTTAAAAATTGTCCTTTCTTCTCATTAAAATTCCCTTGAAAAATTGTTTACTTTTCTTTTTTCTTTTCGCCCTGATTAAATAAAATTCCTCGACTTTTGTTTTTATTTTTCTTTTTTCTGATTTGAGTTTTTTTTTTCTTGAACTTGCGGCCACCCTGTTATTCTAAAAATTATTAATGTTATTAACAGTTGTTATTAAATTTTGAATAAAAAATAGTGAGAATAAGAAAAGAAAAAGAGGGGGGACGAACCTAAATTTATTCGTGGCCAACTCTCCCAATTCGTAAAACTTAATCTCCTCGGAGAAGACATCGAGGGGTACGTTGACTGGACGGCGAAGTCTTCCACCACTTTGATAGTAATAGAGAATCGCATCGAAAGAGGGTCGATTCCGATCGAAAAAGTATTCATTGCGAAGCGGATCGAAATAACGGATCCGCCTTGCCGGGTCGCCAAGCAGTGTGTCCGGAAATTGGTTCAATGTACGCAGTTGCGTTTCAAACCTTAGTCCGCTCACCTGTCACAGAACAAATTTCAATTCATGCATTAAATCATTTTTTCCCAACATTTTTTTTTTTTCATTCATAAAAACAATTTATTGTAAGGATATTAATTAAATATACAATAATAACATCTCTTTTGCTATAGAATCCAAATTTTCGTCTTCATTTCATTTCTATTTGTTTTTATATTTATTTTTACGATTCTGTAGAATTTTAACATGAATTCTGTGTTAACTTAAAAATATTAAATTGCAACGTGAATTAATATTAAAAATGTGGATACAATCGAGGATACAATCAAAAATTAGTTCAAATTTTTGGCATCAATTCGATCCACTTTAGTATCAATTTGATACTTTCAAGAAAACTCTATTACGGTTTTTATTTTCAAAATAAAACAAATTTTTGTAATTATGCAGAGTCGTCTGACTTTTCTATAAAGATTCTTGATTAATGGAATCAATTATTAATTATATTTATACCTAAATTAATAATGTAATTAATTATTTATAACTTGATGGAATTGTTTCTAATTTGATTAGTGGCATTACTCACAATTCGAGTAATCGAATTAATCATTAATTTAATTAAAGAAATTAAAGGAGAATTAATCATTAATTTAATTAAAGGAATTAAAGGAGAATAAATCATTAAGTAATAAAAAATACTTTTGACAATAAAGTGAGAAAATAATTAATTTTCATTACTAAAAACCAAATGACTGATGATGTTGTTTAAAAATAAGTATTTTCTTTCGCTTTCATTGTTGGAATGAAATTGATGAACAAACAGGAAACACGTATTATCTACTTAATTATTAATATACTGGAAATGAGTAATGTGACATACGAGAGATTATTTATGACATATTATAAATGTACAAGGACAATTAACTTTCGCACAATTTACAAAGTAAATGATCAAATAATATGAATTAGAGAATAATAATTTTTTCCAATATTATAATAAATATTAATTTCCTAAATTTAAAAATTATATAAAGATAATTATAATAAAGATAAGAATATAAAAATATAAATACAATACAATAAAAAAAACAATATAAAAAATAATTTCAATAGTCGTAAAAATGTAAACAATTAAGTAAATGGTTTAAAATTAATAATTAAATATTTGTTTGCATAAATTCAATTAATTATTTTTGCTGCAAGAATGTTTAGTTTGAAACGATGCATTGTTATATTATAAACCCAGCGATAAAAGAGAAGTAATTAGTGAAATGTTTTGGCCCTGGGTAATAAACGACAATAATCCTATTATGTGAAGGAGAATTTGTGATTAATATTTGTTGGAAATTTTCCCTCTCTTCTAATTAGCTAAAAATCTCTTTTGCAGTGACGCATCACATGGAAGATTTTCGACAGAGTTCGGAAGGGGAAGAAAAGTCAAAAAGGACATAGAAGAATTTTCGAAAATGTAGGTACAAAATTGATAGGAAGAAACGCCAGAAGTAAAGGGGTAAGTCAAAAAAATAATATTATAATAAATAGAAATATTTTATTACAAAGCATTTAAATAAATATTTATTTAAATAAGAAATTAGCATATAGAGTAAAAATAAAGAAAGAAAAAAATAAAATGAAAAAAATATCAGAAAAATAATTTTAAAACTTAGTGACGATTAAAAATATATTTATTAAAAATTCGTAAGAACGAAAAATAAAAGATTAAAATTAAAAAATTAGTAAAAGTAGAAAATATAAAAATAATTAGTACGAAATAAAAAGAATAGGTAAATTCTCATTAATTTTGAAGGTAAAAATTTATTTGGAGTTGTTAGTCATTTTTAAATTTTTCTAATAAAAAATTTAGTGAAAAATTACTGACTAAAAATAATTATTATAAATATTAACTATTAAAAATTAGTAAATTTAATATTAAAAGGTGAATTTTCAATATTTCGAAATTAGAGAGAAATATTCTTTGTAAACAAAGTAGTTAATGACCCTTTGCATTGTTAGAGAACTTGCTATCTTCTCGTCCTTGTCTACCTCTTCTTGAATGAAAATAAAATTTCGAAATAATAATGTAAAATATAATGAATATTGGCAATAATTTGCAAAGTTAGTATTTAAAAAAAAAATTATTACAAAATATTGAAAAATTTTTTGAATTTCCTAACTTTTTTCCAATATTGAATTCTATTAACTTTTAGTAAATATTAATAAATTTGCGCATAATTGCTTATTGTATTCAACATACATTTTAGATCTGCTTTCGAATTTTTAGCTGATTCTCTAGGACATTTTACGAAAAATTCATTTAATTAGTTAAAATTATAGCAGTCACTCTCTGAGTTCGTTGAAAATATTTAACTTGAAAGCTAAATGTCAGTGAATTTTAGATTTAAAATTTACAATTAAAAAAAATTTTATTTTATAAATATTAAAAATTCTGCTTGATACACGTAAAGATAAAACTTTTGTAAAAGTACTTACAATTTGGGGAGAAAATGTGACAAAGCAAAATAATCGATTACTTGTCTATTATCAAATATAAATAAAACAAATAATTTTCTTGAATCAAATAATTTTTATTTAGATCAATTAAATTGTAGTTGAGCAAAATTATTTAGGTTATTTTCTCTCAGAAAGTATAAAAAACAAAATAAAAATTCAATTTTTCGAAAAATATATTTTCATGTTTTTATTGTTTTATACATTATTATAGACTATTTCCAATCAACTTAAAATGTAAATGCACGCGAGGCTAGGATATAAAAAAATATCTTTGTTAATCCTTGTAAATAAGTAACTTGCTGATAAAAATCCTCTCAATTATGTGATAAATCCTTTATCTTTATAAATAATAAAATTCTTCATCGAAAATCAATTATTTTAAAAAATTTTTAATAAAATTCTTGGCAAAATTTCACAGGAATTCAATTATTTACAAAATTTTTAATAAATTTCTTCGAAACAATTCAATTATTTTCATAAATAATCAAATTTTCACAGGAATTCAATTATTAAAAATAAAAAATTTCATAGCATTTTTCGAAAAATATCAATTTTTAAAAAAGATTTTTATAAAATTCGTCGCAAGAATTCAATTATTTAAAAAAAATTGAACAAAGTTCTTTTCAAGAATTCAATTATTTTTATAAATAATAAAATTCTTCACCGAAATTCAATAATTTTTATAAATTTTGAATAAAATTCGTAGAAAGAATTAAATTATTTTCAAAAGTAATAAAATTCTTCGCAAAAATTAAATTATGTTTAAAAATTTTTTTAAAAATTCTTGTCAAAATTTCAAGTATCTTTATAAATAATAAAATTCTTCATCAAAATTGAATTATTTTTATAAATTTTAATATACTTATTTGTCAAAATTTCACAGGAATTCAATTATTTATAAAATTTTTAATAAATTTCTTTGAAATAATTCAATTATTTTCATAAATAATAAAATTTTCACAGGAATTCAATTATTAAAAATAAAAAATTTCATAGCATTTTTCGAAAAATATCAATTATTAAAAAAGATTTTTATAAAATTCGTCGCAAGAATTTAATTATTGAAAAAAATTTAACAGTTTTTTTCAAGAATTCAATTATTTTTATAAATTATTATAAAATTCTTCGCAGAAATTCAATTATGATAAAAAAAATTCTTGTCAAAATTTCAAATATCTTTATAAATAATAAAATTCTTTTCCGAAATCCAATTATTTTAGAAAAATTTGAATAAAATTCTTGGGAAAATTTTAATTAATTTCATGAATAATAAAACTCATCGCCGGATTTTAATTATTTTTGATACAATATTTTAATCAAATTCCTCGATAAATGTAATTACATTTATCGAGGAATTTTTTTTTTACAAATTTAAAAAAAAAATTTTAAGAATAATTATTCTTAAAATTTTTTTTAAAATTTGTCAAAAGAATTCAATTATTTAAAAATTTGTTGGTAACATTCTTTATGAGAATTCAATTTTAACAAACATTCAATTATTTGATAAATTATTTTTTTTTAATTTAAATAATTGAATTCTTCTAGAAATTTTCTAATAAAAATTGATTTAAAAATGAATTACCGAATAATCGATTTATTATTTATGAAAATAATTGAATTATTGCAACGAATTTTATTACATTTTTTAAAAATAATATTGAATTTTTTTGAGAAATTTTACTACTTGTAAAAATAATTAAATTCTTGCGAAGGATTTTATTAGGATTTTTGTAAATAATTAATTTTTTTTTTGAAAAATTTTATGATAATTTAAATTATTATAAAACATGAAGAAGGCAGCCATTTAAAAATTTAATTCCCAAAATAGTCCTATCTTGTAGCCCTACTAAGCAAGAAATTTACTATATGACATTAAATTTCAAAGTTTTATTAAATATTAAAGAAAATAAAAATTGGAAAATTTAGGCGCGCTTTTGTGCGCAATTTTGCTAGTATTTTAATAAAGTGCCTCGACTGTACTTAATTTATTACACGTTTATGTTTTCACTCACATCGTGACTTATTTTGATTGACATCTTGATATCAATTGATTGGCATGTTTGTGAATCTATCTTTGCAGATGGATCGATGACTGTGGACACTGAATGGCCAAACATTCAACTTACTAAAGTAAAGTAGAGTTGAAAATTTCATTAAATTTCCAATACTAAAATTTGGTTTTTAATTTTTTTATCATTAAAAAGCACACAATGACTCGTTTAATTGATTATTTATAATTTATAAAAAATTTTAATAAAATAATTCATAAAACCTAATTCAAGTAAAAAAAGAAAATCAGAAAAAAATAAAATTAATAAAAATGAAAAACCAAAAATTTTTGGTTTTTCATTTTTATTAATTTTATTGTTTTCTGATTTTCTTTTTAAAAATAAAAGAGGACAAAATTAAAAAAATAAAATCAGAAAAATTGAGAAATAAATTAACGAAAGCAAAATAAAATCTAAAAATAAAATTAAGAAGAAAATAAAAATTGTAAGGAAATAAACTGAAAAGAGGAAAATAAAGATAAAAAGTAAATTAAGAAGAAAAAGTAAAAAATAAACTAGAAAAGCAAAATAAAATTAAAAAATGATTCGTGTATACTCTCTTCGTAACATTTCCTTTATGAAAGAATTTTCATGCCATCTAGGCTGAAATTTTATCAACTTTTTTTTTGGGGGGGGGGGGGGGGGAATTCAAAAATAGAAATAAAACACTAAACCAAGAGTAAAAAGTTCAAAACTACTGAATAGAAAAGTAAAAAATACTGCGCAATAAATTTTTAACAATACTATTAAATTTACAACTTCTTTTTTGTTGTGAAACAAAAGACAAATTGGAAATTAGATATTGTATGTAACAATATCGAAAGTGTTGACAAAAAAATGAACTAAAATCGTTTCTGAAGGACACGTGAAATGACATTGGAAACAAAATCCACACTTTACATAATTACGTGCCAGTGGTGAAATGCGAATGTATACAGAGAGAGAGAGAGAGAGAGAACCGTATATAAATCGTATGTAATGTTCTTGTTAACAACCTTCCCACACGTAAATGACACTATGAAATATTACTTCCACGTGGAAGATGTCTTTCGCTAAAGAAACGTTTTACAATTATTACATAATCAAAATATTGTTCTTCCGAAAAAATTAATAATTCTCTTTTTGTCAGTATTTAAATAAAGAAGCTAAATTTTAAGAAAACAGTGATAAAAAAAATATTAGTGTAACATAAAATTTCTTATACAATTAAAATAATATTTTAACCTAATATTTTGATATTATTTTAATCTTATTTTAATAATACTTTAATATTATTTTAATCTTATTTTAATCTTATTTTAATAATACTTTAATATTATTTTAATCTTATTTTAATCTTATTTTAATATTATTTTAATAATATTTTAATATTATTTTAATATTATTTTTATATCATCAGGGCTCGAACCAGTGAAAGTATTTAAAAATACGGACTTTATGGGGTAAAAATGAAAAATTACGGGCCAAATACTGACAAAAATATAACCAGTCCAAGTCAAATAAGACTATAAGAGGACATTTTACTTAAAACTACAAATTAAATTTTTTCATAATCACTAGAGTTGTGCAAAAAGCTCGAGGCTCGAGGCTCGAGCGAGCTTTTTCGAGCTTTTCATTTTTCGGGCCGAGCCGAGCCGAGCCTAATCAGTTCGAGCTCGAGCCGAGTTCGAGCCGAGCCGAGCTGTGTAAAAAGCTCGAATAGTTTCGAGTACTCGAGTTAATTCGAGTACTCGAATTTTTCGAGCACTCGAGGGAATTCGAGTACTCGAATTTTTTCGAGCTCTGAGTAAATTCGAGTTCTAGAGAAAATTCATAGAATTTTCGCATTTATTATATTTAGCAAATAGAAATATTGATTCAGTAATTCAAAAAAATTCGAAATTTTTTACTTATTAATAGTTTTTTTAGTAAGTCAAAAGCTCGAATCCATTCGAGTACTCGAAAAATTCGAGTACTCGAATTCACTCGAGTGCTCGAATTTAATCGAGTACTCGAATTTACCCGAGTACTCGAATTTTTCGAGTACTCGAAGTCACTCGAGTACTCGAAAATTTCGAGTACTCGATACATCGAGCCGGCTCGGGCTCGGCTCGGCTCGGCCCGAAAAAATTTCGGCTCGGCTCGGCTCGACTTTTCGAGCTTTTTGCACATCTCTAATAATCACATAATTATTTTCATCATTTCAATTCAATTAATATTTTCAAAATTTTTAACTAAAATTCTTCTTTAAATCAATTATTTTTAATAATTTTCGAAAAAGTTCTTTGACAATTTTCAAATCCGTTTGTTTAAAATATTCAATTTTACGAAATTTCAATTATTCGTAATGTTTATATTCGTTATTTGCAACAGATGTTTGGTTTATATCCATCTATGAAATTCTCATTCTAGTGAAAGAGAAACAAATGAATTGTTCTCAAAAACGTCTTTTCAAATTTTATGATGTATTTTATAACTTAATCCTGGAAATATTAGTCTACACTTTAATCCTGAAAATGTGTTCTAATCCTCAAAAAAAAAAAAAAAAAAACTTTCAAAACTCGTCAAATCCTTTAAATTGTTTTATGACGAGAGTAAAGGTCTCTTTACTAAAATTTGTGTGACCCTGAGATAGGGTGGAGACAAATTGCAAAAAATCCAGGTAGAATCTTAAATTCATTCCCACTCCTCAAAACTTTGTACCCCCACTCTTGTAAACCTTATTTTTGACAGAACTTTACTTCACTTCAATTTGTAACTTGTTGAAATAAACACCTTTGTACAATGTACATTTCACTGCTCAAATTCATTCAAATAACCAAATTACTCTCCGCGTCTTATTAACTTAACACGCGGGCATTGTATCCTAGTTCATTAAAAATTATAAGTTAGTGGTGCAATGCCAAAAGATAACACGTAAATTTTTCAATTAAATATATATTAGAAAATAAAAACTTCAACTAATATAAAAACAATTCAATTAAACTTTTTCAAAAAACTTAATTTCAAAATTCAATTATTTCTAAACATTCACGTTATAATGCTTATTCAATTATATTTTAAAATTTTAACTGAAATTTATTTTTAAATCAATTTTTATTATGAAATTCTGCTAGATTTCAATTACTTAAAAGCAAAAAAAAAAATTATTTATTGAATAATTGAATGTTTCTTAAAATTGAATTCTTATAAAGAATTTTTTCAACAAATTTTAGAATAATTGAATTCTTTTGATGAATTTTAATAAAATTTTTAAGAATATTTGCGTTTTTCGAGAAATTCGATTAAAATTGTATTAAATTAAAAATAATTGAAATTCTGCATGAGTTTTATTATTTGACTTATTTGTGTAAGTAATTGAATTCCTAAAAAGAATATTATTATTTATACGAAAATAATTGAATTCCTGTAAACATTTTATTATTTATGGAAATAATTGAATTATTGTGAAGAAATTTATAAAAAAAAATTTGTAAATAATTAAATTTCTGTGTAATTTTTATTATTCATGAAAATAATTAAATTTTTGCGAAGAATTTTATTCAAATTTTTTCATACATATTGAAAATCATTTAATTAAAAAAATTTCCAATTCTCAATCAAGAACAAAATTCTTTTCTTTGTGCAAAATTATTTATTTAATTTAACATTGATTTAATTTATTTAATTTATTTAATTTATTTAATAAAATTGTTTTTCTATTCTTTTGGTAATAAACTAATAATTTAATTATTAACTAATAAAAAGAATAGAGGAGACAGCTTGTAAAATGACAATTATTTTCATATTAGATAATAAAATAATAAATTGTTTACAATAAAATAAAAAATATTATTTTTATTAGTTACAATTATAATTGTTTATTTAAATATCAAATTATTTTTAATAATATCCTATATATGCAGGGAAAGTAAATAGTAAAGAATAATAAATTATTTATAATAAAAGTTATTTTTAATTTTATATATATATATATAGGTATAATATATAATAAATATTTAATATGTATTCATAATAAAAATTATTTTTATTTTAATTAGGAAAAGAAACATTATATTTTCTATTCTATTTGTCAATTACAAAATTTTAATTGAAAATGAAATTGAAGCTTTTTAAATTTATAGAAAATTAAGGAAAAAATTTTACTCAAAAAAATGTTCCGTTACATTTATTTACGAATTTCTTTAATTGTAAAATTATTCGAAAACATCAATAACTTTTTTTTTTAAATAAATATTTAATCAATATTATTTTTTCATAGGAATTTAAAATTTCAAATTAAAATCTTTTTAATTACAAGAATTTTTTTATAAAACATGAAGATAGCGATTGCTCCGAGTCGAAGACTCGGAGTGATCGATTTCTTCATGTTTTATAATTATTAAAGATGACCGAGTGATAAAATCATTAAGAATATTATTACAGTAACTTTTTCAGAATTATTTTCATCATTTCAAATCAATTATTATTTTCTACAATTTTTAATTATTTTTTGTGAAAATAATTGAATTTCTTAAATAAATTTTATTATTTATAAAAATATAAATAATTGAATTATTGCAAAGGAATTTATAAAAAATTTGTAAATAATTGAATTCCTGAGAAATTTTTATATGAAAATAATTAAATGTTTGCGTACTATTTTTGGGAATTTGAAATTGATTTGAAAATAATTGAACTTTGGAAAAGTATATTATTTTGTTATTTATAAAATAATTGGGATTTTGACGAGAATTTTTTTAAATTCGAAATATAATTGAATTTTATGAGAAGAATTTTATCACTCTTATGAAAATAATTGAATTTCTGCAATTATTTGTAATTTTTCCAAAATTGGATTTTTTTTAGTGTTTTGAACAAAAATGTGAATTAGTGTAATTATTAACTAACAAATTTTGGACACGTTTTCAAAAAAATTGCAGATTATTTTTAAAAAAATTTTCAAATTAATAAATTTAATATGATTTTTTTATTTGAATCAAATAGAAAATTGAAATAAGCAAATGAATAAATTTAAACAAATAAAAATAATTTTTCGACTCTTTATTTTTTGTAAATTCTAAGCGACAAAAAGAAATTTATTTTTTGCAAACGAAATTGAAAGAAAAAAAAATTATAAAAATAAGTCTCGCAGTGAATCGCCAAAAAACTTGGAAATAAAATAAATAATATTCTTCTAAGCGAACGAAAAAATTATCATAAAAAAAATTTGTATTTCTCTTTTTTTTATAAATAACAAAAGAAAATCTGCATTAGATTTCACTCACGCAGGAGGCAGTAATTATGAAAAAAAAAATTTCTTCTTTTTCCCCTTGATAACTGGTTGAAACCGAATTTTATTGGTTTTTATATTTATATTTTTATTTAAATCGTCTATATTGGTTATTGGCCAAAACTTTGCACTTGCTACACCTAACCGTGCGCAGTTATGCAGAAAATATTCAGAGATCTTCTACTATTTGTGTGCGTGTGTGTTTGTTACTTTTAATAAATATATATCTGCATACTTTTTTTTTATTTTATTTTTCTCTTTTTTTCACTTGTATCGTATACAATATTGCATAATATTGAATTATTATTTCATTTTATCTTCGCGGCTATTTAAAAAAATGAAAAATTGAAGAAGAAACAAAAAAAAACAATGAAACTCAAATAATTCAATGTGCAATTTAATACAAATCCTATTATGAAAAAAAACACATAGTGAGAAAAATAAAAATCGTCAAGTTCCAAGTTAAACTTGTGTGTGTATTATTTTTCAGGAAATCATTAAAAATAATTGGACTCTGATTTCTTTGCCTATGGATACAATTACTAAAGTAGATATAAATTTCAAATTTATGATGTATATTGCTTAGTGAAAGTGAAAAAAAAAACTGTGTAATGTGTAATTAAATTTTCTCATCACTAATGTTTGTGAGGAAAAAAATGTATGGATCGTCTTTTTAATGTTCAGTTACCTCGTGTTTTTTAATTTTTTTAAAAAAATGAGTCGTATAAAAATGTGCCTTGAAAAAAGACTCGAAAATTTTCTTCTATGTAATTACCACTTTGCTAATTTCGAATACTTATTCTCTAAATATTTCCAATTTATTTATTATTGTAATTTATAATTTATTATTTAAAATAAATTAATATATTAATATAACATAGATTATATTATGTACATTAATATAATATTATTATGTTATAATAATTTATTGGCACAAAATTAAAAAACAGAAAACTTTAATTTAAAATATATTAATATTAATAATATATAATTAATTAATACCTCCAGAATAATAATTCTGTGAATTTCTACCTAATATTCAGTAGAATGTCTGTGAAAATAAAATTAATAATTCTAGAAAAATGGAATTAGTTATAAATTAATTTTTCACATGGAATTAAATTCTAAAATAGGTTTTTAAATTAATATTTTTCTTTTTTGTTGGAAATTTTGTTACTTACGTTGATGACGACCCTCTCGCAAAAGTCATGATCGTGTGGTATGGGCTCGAAGTGTGTGACGCCTGTGTATTGGGTGTGAGCGTTTGGCCCATCTTCGTCCTGGCTGCTGAGCTTTGGCAGCGATCTGCAAAATAAAAATTCTCATTTAGTTTCAATCAAATACACATTTTTTTCTTTTAAAAACTCATATAATTCAATTTTCTATTTCAAGTACACTGTTTATTTATATACAATTCTTACCATAATTTTACAGCAAACGATTTCTTTTTAATTTTTCAAATTTCTTTTACTCTTTCCTTTTAATTTAATTTAATTAACTATAATTAACTATATTAACTATAACAATTTGAATGTTCTTTCTTTCATTCATTTTTTTTTCTATCCCTAACACTCTGAAGTTGTCTTTTGTTTAAAATTTTATTTTTTGTTATCTTTAGATAGATTGTATATTATATTATTACCAGCAAATTTTACCCGTAGAACGTGATATTCAATTTATTATTGTTATGAAAAATACAAAATTTTTTATTTTCAAATATAAATTTTTTAAATAATTTCATAAAGAAAATTTAAAAAATTTACTTATTAAGTACAAAATTAATTATTACTGTTCATATTTTCAAAATTTTTTTTTAAAATTCACGAAAGAATTCAATTATTTTCTAAAATTTTAATAAATCCTTCTAAACAATTCAATTATTTTTTTAAATAGTAAAACCTTTACAAAAATTCAATGATTTTCAAAACAATTTTTATTGAATTCCTCGGATGAATTTAAATATTTCCATAAATTTTAATTATGTACTTAAAAAAACTTTTTATAAATACAAAAAAAATACAAAAAATACAAAAAAAATTTATAAATACAAAATTTTTATAAATACAAAAATTTTTTGCAGGAATTAAATTATTTTTAATCAAATTTAAATAAAATTACATGAAAGAATTTAATTATTTTCAAAAATTTCCATAAAATTCAATTTCAACAAGAATATAAAATTCTGTAAAATTAATTCAATTGAGGCCTTGGATCCAATAACTCGCCCGACGCTCGGAGGAACGCGTAACTGCCAGTCAGTGAGCAGTGAGCGCCTCTGGGCCACTCACTGTTACCCGACTGGTATTAGCGCGTGCCTTCGAGCGTCGGGCGAGTTATTGGATCTAAGGCCTCAATTGTTCTCAAAATATTTTTAAAAAATTCTGTATAAAAATTCAAAACATTTTAATTATTTTCATAAATAGTAAAATTCTTCGCAATAATTCAATTATTTTTATAAATAGTAAAATCCCTTAAAGGAATTCAATTATTTTCAAAACAGTTTTAATTGAATTCCTCGGATGAATTCAAATATTTTAAAATATTTCCATAAATTTCAATTATGTCCTAAAATTTTTATAATTTCTTCGAAACAATTCAATTATTTTTATAAATAGTAAAATTCTTCGCAAGAATTCAATTATTTTTAATTCACTTTTAATAAAATTCTTCTTCATAAAATTCAATTGCTTTCAAAATTTTCAATTAAAATTATTAAAGAAACTCTATTAGTTTAAAAAAAATTCAAAGAAATTCTTTAAAAAAATTTAATTAGGATCTTTAAAAATTTGAATAAAATTCTTTGCGAGAATTCAGTTATTTTCCTAAATAATCAATTTCTTTGAAGAAATTATATTATCATCAAAGTTTTTGATAAAATTCTTTGCAACAATTCGCTGATTTTCAATACATTAATTTTAAAATTGAAAATATTTGAAAAGAAAAATTATAAAAAAGTTAAGAAACAAAAACAATTTCTATTTTTAATCTTATTTTTGGAACAGGATTTTTCACAGGAATTAAGACATTCAAAAATTTCAAATTCAAACATTTTTTAAATTAAACAACTTATAAAAGTATTGTTATAAAACATGAAGATATCGATTGCTCCGAGTCGAAGACTCGGAGTGATCGATTTCTTCATGTTTTCTAATAATTAAAGATGCCAGAGTGATAAAATCATTATTTTTATATTATAAGAATATTGTTACTGTAACTTCATCAAAATTATTTTCATCATTTTAATTCAATTCTTATTTTCTAGAATTTTAAATTAGTTTTTATGCGAAAATAATAATTGAATTCTTAAAAAAAAATTATTATTTATGAAAATAATTGAATTTCTATGAAATTTTTATTATTTATGAAAATAATTAAATGTTTGCATACAATTTTATTAAAATTTTTTTTAAATAATTGAATTCTTTTTGGGTAATTTTATTAAAATAGTAGGTATATATTGAAAATCATTGAAATTAGAAAAATGCATTTTATTTTTGAAAATAATTGAAATTAGGACAAGAATTTTTTTGACATTTATGAAAATAATTGAACTTTGGAGAAGAATTTTTTTATTTAAATATAAAGATAATTGGGATTTTTACGAAATTTTTTTTCAAATTTTTGAACATAGTTAAATTTTATTATTTTTTTAAATAATTGAATTTCTACACTTATTTGCAATTTCTCCAAAATTGAATTTTTTTAGTGTTTTCAACAAAAATTTAAATTAGAAAATTTTCAAATTCTATTATTTTTAAAATTTGCTAATTTTATTTAAAAAAGGTAGTAAGAAGATAGCCGCTCGCTTTAGCGCGCGAATTGTTGCTGGTTTATTTTATTTATTAAAATTAAATAAATATAAATTTGTACATAATTTTACTAGCAAATTACGAGCAAAATTTATCAACCCCGATTTAATACGATTCTAGGCGTGTTTTTTCAATAAATATCAACTTAACTCAGAAAAAAAAATTAAATAACGTCTTCAATTTTTCACCAATTTATTTAAAATTAAAAAATATAAATTTCTACATAATTTTACTAACGAATTTCAAGTAAAATTTATCAAACCCGATTTAATTTGATTCTATAGGTCCGTTTTTTCGAAAAATATCAAATTTAATTAAAAAAAGAAAAATTCAATTACTTCTTCAATTTTTGACCTAAAAATCGAAAAATTGGTAATAAGTTTGTGTATATTCATAAGCAGATTGCAGGAAAAAAGAAGCAACCTGCTTAAATTTTTCAAAGTTTTTCTTTAAAGTTTTCAAATTTTTTGAAATTTTAAAGAACTTTTAGTTTCTTACTTTCTTAGTTCGGTTTCTTTTCGAATAATACCAAATTTTCGACAAAAACTATACAACTACAATTTTTAAACCAAAAATCTAAAAATTACTATACTGTTACATTTTCACAGTAAAAATAATAACAACAGTAAAAAATAAACATCCCATTACCCATTTATTCAAAATATGTCTACATTATGTAAAAATACGTCATAAAATAAAATTCCCCTCATAAAATCGAGAAGGCAAAAAATTCTAAAGAATATAAAAGCTCAGAGAAACGGAATAGTCTGTTTTTAACGATTCTATATACATATATATAATATGCAGTTTTTTTTTGTGTAAATGAATAAATTACAAAGAAAATGATGACGTCGGTGATAATATACATATACGTAGGAAAATGAGAATCGAGAGAAAATTGAGTACACTGTAAAAAAAGGGCTTATTCAAGTTCCTCGTGCTTAAAAAAAAAAAAAAAAAAAAAAATGGGCAAAAAGAGTCTTACACTCTTTCTGACCCTAAGCTATCTGGTGGCCTACTCTAAGTGGTGCAGCATCTCATTTGGACCACGCAATTCCAATGTAGCTCTAAATATCTATATACGATAAAAATGCAAAGAGTCTGCAGTAACCGTTTCTTCGTTCAAGTGTTTTTACACTTTAATATCCTCACACAAACGTGTCTAGTTCAACGATCCAAACATTTAAAAATAGATCCCCCTGACGTAAGTTTCGTCCTCAATTGCAGAAATTCTTATTCATTTATTTATTTATTGTTCATATTTTGTCATTTCTTCTTTTTTTAATTTCGGTTTTTTCATTAAATTAGGAATCCATTTGTTTTAATTAATTTTCTAAAGTATTTTTTGTTAATTTGCAGAAAGTATTTTGCAATTTGCAAAAAGTATTTTTTTAAATTTCCAGCAAGTAATTTTTTGAATTTGCAGAAAAAAATTTTTTTTAACATTTTTAGCAAATATTTTTTTAAAATTGTAACAAGTAATTTTCTTTTAATTTTGTAAAAAGTAATTTTTTTCAAATTTCCAGCAAGTATTTTTTTTTTTTTTAATTTGCAGAGTGTAATTTTCTTTAAAATTTTTAAAAAGTAATTTTTCCTTAAATTTTCAGAGTGTAATTATAAATGAAATTTTCCAAAAGTAATTTTTCTTTATATTTGCAGAATGTAATTATTTTCTTTCAAATTTTTAAAAAGAAATTTTTTTTTCCAGATTTACATAAAATAATTTTTTTCTTCCTATTATTTTTTTTTACTTTATTTCTTTATTATAAATTGAATTCGTTTTCTTCAAACGTTATATTCTCTCTTTATTTTACTTTTTGTGCGACATTTAAAAAATACATGCATGCAATTTTCAGACAACAAAGAAAATATTTTAAATGGCGGAAACTTGAAGTGTAATTTTAGAATAAGTTGAAAGCATATAATTGCTCTTTTAGCATTTAAAAGATAGAAAAGGGGAAAGATTAAAAATATTTTGGACAATGGAAAAGTCATTCCTATAGAAAATAGAGAAGTTTGCGCCGCCGGCCAGACGACCGTGAACTTCAATTGAAATCGGTGCCAAGAATCTTCGCGCTCGTTGACTTGATCCTCTCTTGATAATCACAAAATTAACACCATTCATTTTGCATTCATTTTCGTCGCGTGACATTTTTTTTTCTTCATTTTTTACAAATTCAAAAATAGAATAAACAGAGCAATTGTAATTTGGAAAATAAAAATTCTGGAATTTTTTTTTTTTAGTTTAAATAATACTAGCAACAATTTGCGCGCTCAAGCGCGCGGCTAACTTCTTACTACTTTTTTAAAATAAAATTAGCAATTTTAAAAATAATAGAATTTGAAAACACTAAAAAAATTCAATTTTGGAGAAATTACAAATAATTGCAGAAATTCAATTATTAAAAAAAATAAAATTTCGGTCATCTTTAATTATAATAAAACATGAAGAATCGATCACTCCGAGTCTTCGACTCGGAGCAATCGATATCTTCA